TTGTGTGTGTGTGTGTGTGTGTGTGTGTGTGTGTGTGTAAAATTTCACTTGTTAAATCTCTCCGAGTGCTGAGAAAATGATCGGAAAACTAACAAATTTCAGAATAGATCTTAACATTTACAATTTGAAACTGATATCCGATCGTACTCGGGGATGTAAAAGGTCTGTAGATAAACCTAACATCAATGATTATCTTTATCAAATCTATCCAAGAGAAAAAGGAATTGCTTAAGCCTCGCATTTGATATGTCTTCCTGAAAGTGTTTACTTTTCTCAACACCGCAAGATTCAGATTGTAACATTCCTCGCTATGCCTTAGTTTAAGCGCGAGAAAATGTTTATCGCAGAGGTATGAAAAATTAAAAAGCCGCAAAATCAAACAAAGATGCAGATGATTCTTTGAGAAATTATTAAAACGGATGGTGAGTTCATTCGCCAAGCTTTCAAACCGATGATACTCGACATGCTGGATGCGAACAATAAATGGATATTAGAAAAATGAGCTGAAGTGATGATCCTTACCTTGACATCCGTATAAACGCCTTTTGCGATCAACTGATAAATGTCGTCGAGATATAGAGAAAAACAGCCTTCCCAGCGGGGTAAAATGACACGAAACTGTCACAGAACAAAACAGTAATCGAGCTAATAATAAGTATTTTTCTAATTGTCGCTAAGGAAGCAGAAAGACAGAAATTTCAAACCAATCAGAGGCTGCATTATTTACAAAATATTTTCCAGAGTACGCATACGATCAAGCGCGCTCGAGTACGCGTAAAACCGATTTCCAGGCCTTTTTTCGATTTTTTTCTGTCTTTGCCTGTTTTGAGAGGATTTCGGAAAGACTACGAAGAGATCGAAAGTTTCTGTGCAGTCGAAACTGAAATAATGTTCCAGTGAGTAATGCAACGACCAACTGACTACACACGACGTGAAAGCTTGGCAGAAGAAATAAAAGTACTTCATAGTTTAGTCATGCGCGTGTATGCACTGTTTAAGATATATATATATCTTATTAGACGTTTTGTTGTGTAGTATCGCTGAGTATTTTTACGAGTTGTGCCGTATTTTGACGAGTGCGTAGGACGAGTCAAAATACAAACAAAGATTATTATTATCCAACACGCCAAACTATTCTTTCAGTGCGCGCGAATTTCGCAAATGATTATTTACGGGGAGTGCGTGACAGAAGTATGCGAAGCTGAACGGAATTGGCGCGTTGTTGTGCTGCTGTTTCTATTTTCTACATTAAATGAAGAAATTTTCGGGTCGTCAAGCTGTTTTTCTTCGTTCGATTCATCTAATAAATTTGGGTCTATATTTGCCAGCCATTCTGACTCTTCGTCGTCGGAAATATGATTCAAATTGTCCGCCAGTTTTCTTTTCGTAACTACAATCCAATTCTTCGCTTGCGCGATGCGAGAAAACCTGTTTAACCGGTACTATAGAGTACAAATACCGCGTGATTTTTGTACTCGTCTATGGCGTTATTTGTACTCTACTAAGTGTAGTTGGATCATAACACTGAGAATTTTGGACTGAAGATAAAATATCCGGATGACATACCTCCCCCTCCATCTGGGACTGCTGCCCCTTGGCCGGGGATTCCAACCCCCTCTGATGGAACCTCTCTTGTAGATGTTATACGCCCTTTAGAAATATCACGAAATAAGTCTTGAGTCACAAGCCGTAGAGAGAATAATTTAATAACAGTTTCGAGAGAAATTAGATAGAAGTACAGTAAATAGTTTGAACCTGGGGGTAACATGGGAAAGTGTGGTGTGATCGTCCGGGTGAGTTTAGTCCTGAGAAGGACTGTTGTCGGTCACCAACACCGACAACACATCCTTCTCGGGACTACACTAACCCGGACGATCACACTACACTTTCACACAGATAGAAATAGTTGCAGTATCAGTGTTAATGTAAGGCTAGTGCTAGTAGCAACAACATCTCCAGCAGGAAAAGCATGCGCAGCGGCAGTTTTTGGAGCAGGACTAATAACGATAGTTTGAGCTTGATGTTTTTTTGTTAAAAAAAAGTTTTCACTATGTTCAAATTTGATTTCATTATATATCACGCTTCAAGAGTATTTGACAGTAGAAACACGGTTAGCAATCACTATGAGATAAATGGATGGACTTCTAACACTTTAAATTTCTGAACAGGCTCCGAGGGTTTGAGCGATATTTTGGTAGATATAGATCTGATTCCAAAATGCCCCTTTTCTTCACTATTTAAATTTAAACTGAGCTCATTTTTATGGTGTAAATGATCAGTTTTATCTTTTATTACCTCTGAAACGTCCCCTATTGCTGTGATATCGGACTGCAATGTAGAAAAAAGCTATTACTCAATAATAAGAAAAATATGATGTTACGCCGAACGTGTTGCATTTGTCTTACCTCCCTCTACTGCTACAATGGCCAGCATGAAAAAATGAAGCCACATGGTTTGAAATCAGTCCTGAATAGAAAATAAAGTGGAGTAGTTAGCGATTAAGAAAATTTCTGAAAGAAATTGCATGAAACATAGAAAAAAAAATTTCGATACTTAGTAAATCGGGTTGAAATCTGACCATAAATCGAAGATGGTGCTTGACTAGCACGGTGTAAGAGATCAAATTCAAAAGTTAGTACATTTTCACAAGCATCGCGTTTCATTGATTTGGAAATCAGTAAAGGACCCTCTTCCCAGACAGATAGGTACAGCGAAGCTTTATTACATAATCATCACTTTGTCTCCGTAGAGAGAGAGAGGATTTCCTAAGAATTTAATTGTTTCTAGGTAAAGAAAAACGCAACGCCAGAGCATCCTCCGACTATGTAAATGCGTGACTTATCTTATCCTTTCTTTTGCCTAAAAGGAAAAGATTCGTTGAAGGCAAAACAAATTTATTAACATCAGGGTCAACAAACGTTAAATTCTTCGTCAAAGATCGGTAAGCAGAGTGGTTTCAAACTGATTTCAGGTGTGCTTACGTATCCTAAGCCGGTAAAGGCTGATTGCTAATTTTTGAAATAATCTATTTCGATATCTCACCAGAAAGACGTTGAGGCTTGTTAACAGGCGAAATGAAGATGTAATACTTCCTCCTGTCTTTGTCATCGAATGAGATAATTCTTTGTTAAAGAGCTCTATTCCTCTGTCTACTTATCTAGAAGACTATTGGCTTATTCTAGAGGATGACCTGTTCCTCTCCGAAGCTCTGAAAGTCAATTTCTATACGTTTTGGCAACTTTATAAGTGGATAAGTGCTTTGTTGAACGAATACTCTTGAGAAACTAGATAATTTAATTATTAAATGTCCACAGATTTAATTTTCTTGGAAAGCCTTCATATCAAGGGAACATCTACGTATTTTTGTTTGCCATCTCTAACCTTCCTTATTAAATTCATTGATCTAAAGGCTGTATGACAAATAAAAGCTTGAAAACAGATTAAATAAAATTCAGGGGGAAATGTTTCAAAACATCTGAGGTCATGAACTTTTATTGTGACAGAAGGAAAACGAGCAGGTAAAAACTTCTCCTTCATTCGAAGTGGAAATTTTTAACACTGTACCTTGATCATTTTCCAAAGGCTGATGAAAAGGAAATACACAATTCTGATATAAATGCATTGGATATCTAAATAAAAAGAACGTTCTTGTTGGGGTTTTTCTCACCGAACGTTTATGCGACAATACGTACATTTGTCGTTGAAAAAATTAGGAAGCATACAAGCAAGTAAATATTGGGGAGAAGTAGAATCAAGATATGATTACAGCATAGCTTTGTGAAAAGCGTGCGTTCTGATTGGCTAGTTCGCTGGATTCATTTGCTCATGGGTTGCATGCTGACGTCAGTTTCTTGTGTATTTTCTCCTGGCAACTTTGTTTATCTGTGTTGCCGCAATTAATAAAGTACCTCCTGCCTTTTTTCTCATGATATGGAAAGTTGCTATATATTTTCGGAGACAAATGATATAACTTCTGTGAGTTACCAAGTTTCAAGCTAAGATTTTTGATAATTGTAAGGAAAGTGGTGATCGACGATAATGACAACAGTAATAAGAGTGATAATGAAGTGTAAATGAAGAATAATTCTCGGGTACCCAGGATTCAATCGCGTTCGAAGTGGGTATTCTGAATTGATTTGAATTTTTCTTGTTTGCCTCATAAACCTACGGATTCACCAAGAAAACCAAATTTCTACTCACAATATTAACTTAGCGTTTTTAGAATTCCTTCTAGAATTTCAATCTCCAATTAAAATAACATAGGTTACTATCTAGCGCCGCCATCTTTAAAATACGAAATTGATCATTGAGATTGACGCACTCGCCGTGAGTCAAAACTTGCCGTGCAGCTGTTTGATTATCTGGAGCTAACAATTTGCAGGTTTGCCACACAACTGTGAATTACTTCCCTCGTCTTTCTGACTATTTACGATTAATTTAAAGTTCCATTATCGTAATACCCGTGAAAAGTGACGTGTGTAGGGCAGGACGGGTTGACGTGAGTTGGTTCGGAAAAAGGTGTCTGGCCCTGTAGTCGCGCAGCTTTATAGCAAAAACTTAAAGGAAAAAGGAAGAAGCAAAAACAAAGTCGAAGAGTTGAAGAGCTTTCATCGTAAAATCTTTGGAATTGTCTTGTAAGCGCTCGTCTATCGCACATTATCTAGGCTGAAACAAAATTATAAAAAATTTCAAAAGTAAGTACGCCGGTGTGTGGTCTATGAACTCGCGCCAAATATTTCCTTTGACTTCTTTTTGCGTAATTTTTTTTTCGAGGGGATTAAGGGAGGGGAGGGGGTCGATACCAGCTTCTACCTCGCAAAATTTGAAGAAAATGGGATACTCGACGCAAAGGCTGACGGGATTCTGAGATCAACAGAAACTTTTTGGAGACCCATGATTTTTAATGAAGGAATTTAAATATCTCACAAAGGAGAATGTCAAAGCCCTCATACAACACTCATCCAGGAAATCTTGTACCCAATGCCATCAAAGCTAATGGCGTCGCGCAAAGATAACGTCACAAAATTTGAGACCCCCACTTGACTGAGACAAACAAACTACTCCAAGTGCCATTTCTATAAGAGTGTTTAGTGGAATCGATGTCGTTTGCGAGCTCTAAGCTTCGTTCTTTGACCGTGTTAACCCAAGAGGACGGCGTTCCTGGCTCGCAATTTGAACGAGAACCAAAGGACTACACTGTAGATCGGTTGAAACGATGGTTAAAGTGCAGATGTTTGAGATTAAGCGGAAAACGTGATTAACTGGTAAAACGTGTGACCGAATGCATAAAGACTGGAAATCATCACACACTCGATCCAAGTATAGATGAGGGGAAATGGTTTGCGGCGAAGGCCATAAAGGAAAGTTGTGAATATTAACTCCTGTTACTTCATAGTATCTTTAAAAAAAGTTGTCTCTTATTTTATTATACAGTAAATAAATTATGCAACATTGCTTGTTTTGTTGAATACAATTTTTTGTTCATCTCATTCTCTCTCGAAGATCAAGGAAAGATCAAGGAAAGATCACTGCTACAGTAGTGATTTTGCGACCTTATATGAGTCAAAATTATGCACATTGCTGTTGTGGGGAGAAACTTAAGGGCCAGAGAACTGGATATTCCATAAAGCAATCTATGAGTTAAGGATAATAATGTAAAAAAGAGCCTATTTTTATAACAAAGAAGGTAATTTTTATCTATTAATTGGGTTTGGTAGAGAGTTATATTTGTAAATAAAACAAATGTGTAATCGAGCACTTGCGCGACTGGCCTCTGCTGGCTTTAGATTTGTCTTTAGAGGATCGGGATGTTCCTTAATGAGGCCTTTTTCTCCGGGCCAATGAAGGGCACAAATGTACGTATTTCTTGAGATATTCTTTTCGGTAAAGAATTCCCTCGAACAAGCCACTAACCATCTTCTGCACCTCTCGATGTTTTGCGTCGGCTAAGGAAATGGGACGAAAGCTTTCTTTCCGGACTCCAACTCTTTGAGCGATTTTGGCCATTTCTCCGGGTACCTTGAGTCGGTTTTGCAATCACCCCAACAGAAATGCTTGGTACCAACCATTTTCTTTTCCTTCGAGGAATTAAAGACCGCGATTTGCCCCATTTTTAACAAATTTTGTTCTCATACTGTCGCCAACCGGCTTAAATTCGCTTATGGCAGATCGCAATGTTTGTCTGAGTCACGCGGGGGGTCTCATTAGACGAAAACTATTTTTAGAAATAGTGCGCGACGCCGTTGCGAAATGTGATGAGCTTCCACCTGTAATCATACTGTTAATGAACAAGTCCCTTAGGACTGGGGTTTTCTCTAGAGTATGCAAGGAGGCTCCTCTAGTTACTCCGTTATTGAAGAAACCTGGCGCCGACATCAACATATTTCAGAATTTCAGACCAGTCATTAACTTGTCGTTTATGTCAAAGCTGGCTGAAAAAGCTGTTTTCAACCAATTACAAAACCATCTTTGCGTCCATAAAATCTATCCGGATCAGCAATCTGCCTACCGAAAGAATTACAGCACAGAAACACTTCTATTGAGAGTGAAAAACGATCTTACATACATACATACATACATACATACATACATACATACATACATACATACATACATACATACATACATACATGT